GGGGGGGGGGGGGGGGGGGGGGGGTGGAAAAAAAAAGAGAGAAAAAAGGTGGAAAATTGCAGAAGTGGGGCACAGTCCAACAGGGAGGCAGAGCAGCATGGTATGCGCCAAGCAGGCAGGCACCACTGCTGCCTGCTGCACTATGCTTCCGTCTCTACCTCTGCCTGTAATAGCACTGCCAACCTGGGGAGGGGGTTTGCAGTATTTCCCATGTAGTCACCCTACCCATAAAAAAAAAAAATGGTGCATTTGTTTGCCAAAACCAGTTTCATGCAACTTAAATAAATATTTTCATTCCTAAGGAAAAAAAAAAAAAAAGATTTCTACCCCCTGCCCAGTGTTATGCCACAAGAGTTCAAGATTTCAGGATGCCCTCCCTTTTTTCAGACAACCTTTGGTAACGTGTTTTCCATGATTAAAGTATGCCATTTTCAGACAGGTGGGCATCAAGATACAAAAAAAAAAGTGAAGAATAAATCTGCTCTCCTAATTAAAGATGTTTATTGCAGCTTCCATTTGCCTGCTGCCATCCCAAGACAGAAGATCCAGTTCAGCAAGGCTTTTCTTAAGTATGCTATCAACTGCAAATTGAAGTGAAGTGTTTACAGAATTGATCACTCCAATTCTTAAGCGGTTTTTAACTAGTCTACAATTCTTTTTCCTAATTGCTGTTCTTTATGTAGTTCCTTTTAGTTGAGTAGTGCACAGCCATTGCTTCTGGAAGTTAAAGGCTACAGTAATGTGTACAAGTCAACTCCAGTCTTAAGTGGAAGTACAACAATAGCTTCTAATGAAGATACATTCTTGCAGAAAGAATGAAACAGATTAACTAAATTATTTGTGGTCTTGTTTGTTCTTTGAAGCAGTAAGGAGGAAATGGTTCTAGTCATTAATGGAAAATTTAAGTAATGCACTAATGAAGAGAAGACAATTTGGCTCTAACTTGCAACATGTCCTATACCTCGAGATGTGCGCGCTATGTGCACAAAGAATAAAGTCAAACTGAGTGCCTTATTACTTTTCTTATTCTATTTTATATTACTTTTTTCCTTATGCACCATTATACAGCATATTCAATTTTACTGCTGTTTAAGTAGTAAAATGGCACATTCTACTATTATTTTTCACCAATAGCCACAAGTTAAGTAATTTTATTTCAATTGTTAATGTTAATGTATCATTTTGGTAACAGCTGTAAATAAGCTACCATTAGAAAATTGCTTTATGATGGCCATATGTAAAGGCAGTCCTCAATTTACAGTGTTTCGAGTTGCATTTCACACTTACAACGTTTATAAATTGACACCGTTTAAATTTTGAAATCAGTTACGACTTTACAATGCTTGATCTGATGCCATGCCAGTGAACAAGTTCACTGTTGCCCATCTCCCTGGAGAATCTGTCCAAAGTTCCTTGGACAACTTTAAGAAAGCAGACAAAAAACCAGAAAATTTTGCAGCCAAGAATAAGACTATTCCAGCAAAGAACCCTTAAAAAAAAAAGTCCAGCGAAGTCCCCTCAAAGTCCTTCCAAATCAATGATTGCTATATACAGTATAAATAAATTAATGTAGCTATATTACTCATCTACAAGTTGACTGAGTACAAAATTTTGGGTTATTTTTGATGTAAATAGGGTATCGGGCCTTGGTTCAGGAACAAGTCCCCCATTTATAACATTGTTTTGGGGGGGGGGGGGAATCTATTCCAAGTTAGAATGTTTCAACTTAAGACTTGCTTTTTCAGGAACCAATTGTGCTGCAAGTCCAATGACTGCATGTACTTAAAGTCTTAAGGTTCTAGGATGCTGATATCAAATCTTAGCAAGTTTATATACCAAGTCTTCCCAATTCATAACCACAGTTCAGAAATGCAGGAAGTGATGACCAAAGTTATCCGTTACAAGATAATTTTAGAAACTAAAAAAAAAAAAAAAAAGTTACCCCTCATGTTTCCTGCATCTTCTGTCTTGTGATGATTTAACATTAGTCCTGTGATTATGGTTACAGAGAGGTTGAAAAGTTAGTTTGGTGAGCACTGGAAGAGGGAGAAATTGGAGTTCTCCCATTTACTATGCTCAAGAAGCTAGTTCAGAGTCCAGGAATGAAATGCCCTCTAGAAGAGGGTGAATAAAGTACTTCCTATTGTTGCCCCCACAAAAAGCTTTGATGATCCACTTTAGGAATTTAAAAACTGACTAGCCTTTACTCTGCCAAGTTCCAGAAGAAGTGTTGCTAAGTTTGAATGAGCAAGTGCTGCAAACCTGTTGGCCAGATCTACTAGGTAAAACTTATCCCTCAAACTTTTTCTGCAAATACCATTGGAAAATGTTTTTCTTCTTCCTGCATTTTAAAAACAAGTCAGACACTAATCCCACTTGAGATCTTTGATTGTGGTGCCTACTTCTTTGATAACTGTCTTCTACTCTGATTTGGGGCAAGAGTAAGGATTAGACTCTTAAACACAGATAGAAGTCATTGTATATATTCTTATTCTAGAGCAATGAATCCCAGTGTGGAGGCCTAAAACAAGACACGTTCTTTAAAATTCATACCCTACCTTAAAAAGTCTAGCAAAACAGCAAACTCAGGACTTGTCTACAGATTCAAGATAGTAACAATTAATCATTAAAAAAAACTCATTTAAATTATGAAATTTAAACTTGGCAGCATCCAAGAGTCTAGGAGAGAATCAGCTTTCCTCAGTTACCCATCAACAAGTACAAATCGAAAACTAGGATTGTCCAAACTGGATGCCTCTTTAAAAAAAAAAATTGCTTTCCAAAGTCATGCTGCCTTTTCAAACGTTGAAGTTTGTACTTGAGTACAAAATATCTTGTACCAGCTGCTCTCTTCACTTGCTTCCTCTCCCTCTTTTGTTGCGACTATGCAACTCTTGGTTTGCTCTCAGTACTGTGCCCTCTCTCAGCTAGGTCTCCTTGCCCCCTTTTAATGGGTCATCATTTAAAAACTAAAACCTCTTCTAGATTAAGACAGAAGAGAAAGGACTCTGGTAGTCTGCACTCAACTATCCACTATAGCTGAAGCTATTTTGGATATGAGCCAGAAGTAACTTTTAAGTCAAGAGAAGTTTCCTTCTGTAGATATAGAAGTACACCTCAAAGTTAAACATGGAATTCAAAACCAAGTCTGCTTTCTGCCAGAGATTTCAGGCTAAAGTGGTATTTACATTAAAAACCTAAAAAAAAAAGATTCTTCCCACAGATTTCTGGAAGGACTATTTGGGTTTTCCACACATTTTCAACTGGTTGGGATCACATTTATTAGCTTAGTCCTTACATTTATATATCTGGCAGTTGGTTGACTGAATCAAGTAGCGCAAGACCTAGTTATGGCTCTGGGAAAATCCTAGAAGATTAAAAATGAAGACAGCTTCCTCCAAAGAGTTATGCTGTATTCAGTTTCCCATGAGTCTTCTAGAGACTATTTTTCAAGCCATCTTGTCCACAAAAAGTGTTATATTATATCATCTATGTTTTGCAGCAGCCTTGACAATGGCATGCCTCACTTGTCAGTTTTTATTATCCTGTTAGTTCTGATATGAGGATAGCTAGTGGACAATAGGAAAAAAACAAACAAACAAAAAAACCTCATCTTGATCAGCACTTGGGTTGTCACCCAGTAAAAAGAAGATTAAACTGTCCCTCACCATGTTAAGTGAAGCACTCTGCTAAAGATTGAAGATCAGAGGTTTTCCTTTCTAAGCACGCAACTGTGAATCACTGCACAATATTTCACTGCAAACAGGGTGGAACTAGAAGTTGTAAGCTTGAACTAGGAAAGGTAGAGAGATGTGTTATGATTGGTTCTTACCTCAAGACTGAAGACCCCATAGGGGAAGATCCTAAAAAGCACTAAAAAAACCCAAAAACTAATGCTCAAGTTACCTGCAGCTATAACTCTAATTGTATCAATCTACTTCTCTTGGCAGAATGAAGTTTAGATCTATTATATAATTGAGGGAGTTGTTTAAATCAGATTAATTGTGCTATGTATAGCTTTACTTCTGAAACAGCATCAAGTTAGTGCCCCAAAACGGACAAGGCTTAAGAGGTCTTAAAACAAAGAAACATTTGAGGTCCAAAAAAGTTCTGTAAACATGGAACTTAATTCCCAAGAGGCTTTATTATTGTAGTTAAGCAACTTAAGTATGTATGCCTACTTTTCTTGTCCTTTTTCTCTTTTTCCTTTTCTTTCTCTTCTTCTTCTCCTCCAGCCCCAAGTAAGGTAAAGATGATACCAGTTTGAGAGTTCACACCTACAGCAGTAACTACCATTCTTCCAGAGCCTTCCATCACATGGGTACCTGGGCAGGGGGAGAGAAAAAGTGCACTTTTACTTTCCTTTCAGAAGTATCAAAGTGGCTAGGAGACTCTGAGAATAGCCCACCAGAGGAAGTTTCTAAAACTAGGAACTTCTTTAAAAACCAAGCGGTCAAGAGTCACCCTGGTTCTTGGAACACAGGTTCATCATTGCGATAATCGGTGAAAACTAGTTAACAGTTAAATCACAAAGAGTAAAGAATAGGAACAGAGCACATGAAAAAAAAATTGTATGATTTCTAGTTTTTTGGAAAAAGTAGTGTTGACTAAAAAGGCAGCTCAAAGTTAACAAAAAGTTTAATTTCATCCCAAAATATTCAGTTAAAACAAGTTTGAAGAGGTTAGATTTTCCTTAATTTTTCTTCCTACTATTCAAATACTGTAAGTTAAAGAAGTAGTCTCCTCCAGACCATTCTGCAGCAATTTGAGTAATAGGTTTAGTTGCACTACTACTGGGGAGCATGCAAACAGTTCAGAAGACTCTTTAAAGCAAAAGTGCAGTCTCTGTCCTGGGATCAAAGAGTCCTCTTAAAAATGAAATTGAAATGGACAGTGCATATGCTAGTTGAGCAAGATACCTTAAATTGTTCAAAAAATTAACAGTGCAGATGTTTAGAAATTAAAGAGATCCATCCCCAGTCATATCCTCCTTATGCCTGGATACATTTCTCACATGTTACCACCATTTGCACTCAGCAACTTTAATCCAAGAAATTCAGTAACTATTTTCAACAGTAAGGAAGACTAATGTCAAGTAATTTGGCAAAATAACTCGGATCTGTGAATCCAAAAATTCTTTCACTCTAGACTATTAGAAAATGCCTGTTCCCTTGGTGACCACCGTAGAATGACACTACTGCAATTGAAAGTGATCAAAGTTATATTACTACTGTTCTGTGACAAAGTAAAATATTTGAAACTATAAAGAAAGGTGAACATGTACTTATGAAACAAATGAAGCTTTTCCAGATGAAGGACATTAAAGCTTCTGTATCTGTCATTAGGATATTATGACTCAAATACTGTGGACCACAAAACCAAGGAGTCAGACCAAGTTTGATACTACTGGCATCTCAAAAGTAAGCTAAAGTGTTCGAAAGGGTACCTTTTCTATCGCAAGTGATAACAAGACTTAAGAAAAAAAAAAGCAAAGTTTCTTACAGGTCACTGAAGGTGAAAACAGCACTAATAGCTAACATGTTGCCTCAGGTGGTATGCGTGTGTATAATATGTAAAAATATATTTTATATAAATGTCTCAATGCTATATCCTGAGAACTTGTGCTATAATAAGAAACCTTTAAAACTTCTGTATTTCAACTATAGCCCATTGAAAAATGTCCATTCTATGAAATATTAAGCCACACACCTGACAGCAGCATAGGATCTTTATCCAAAGATTTTTTAACATGATCAGATTCTCCAGTTAGTGAGCTTTCATCAATTTTAAGGTCATTTCCTTGAATAAGTACCCCATCAGCTGGCAGAAGATCACCTAAATTAAGAGCATCAACATCTGTAAACTCAGACACTCATAACAGTCAAAGAATTTTAAAAGTTGAAAACACGTATTTACCATATTTTACTTGTGCAATATCCCCAACAATTATGTCGGCTACTGGTATTTGGATGACTTGGCCACCCCTGATGACAGTGAACTTCTGTTCTTGTTCAATGCGGCTTTGCAACCCCCTAAACTGTTTTTCTTTACTCCAGTCATTGAAAGCTGTTACTAAAACCACACAAACTACTGATAGAAGGATTGCAGCTCCTTCAATCCAACCTGTTTCACCTTCTTCCTCTTCTTCACCAGCATTCACTACTCCACATACTGTAAAAGACAAAAAAAATTTAGAGCTCAAACCAACTTCTTAACCTTCATAAAAAACAAACAAGCAAGCAAACAAAAAAACCACCACACTATCTCAGACTGAAATCAGTGTAAAAAGATTTCCTAAAAAGGTTCAATTTAGAAGCCAGTCAAAACATTTAAAAGTTCTAAGAATGCACAAGATCAAGAAAGCAATTTTGAAAAGTAGCTGGGGAAACTCAACACAGACCGGGAAACTATAAGTTACAAATAACTTTTTAAAAAGTTATTATGCCCATGTATAGGCATTTGTCTTGGCTTATGGAGGGTTTCAGCTGTTTTTTGAAGGGCTGTGCAAGTTGCTACCAACTAGTAAACAGAATGAAATGTAAGAGCACCAAATTGTGGGCACTTCCTTGCATGTTGTCACAAGTCACCCTCAAGGAACAAAGCACAAGGGACCACATTAAAGAAAAATGTAACTGGCTGCACAGCAAGTCTTTTTTTTGTTTGTTTGTTTTTTAAAAGGAAAGGAGAATCAGTGCAAAATTAATTGTTTATAGGAAAGAAACTTAAATATGCCGCATCCCATTTGAAAAGGGCATGGCAAGCCACAATTTAAGAAACCCAATCTGTTTACATAAAGTTTTTGAACACAGAGCTAGATTCATGTGAAAGTATATACTGCGTTGTTTATAAAAGAAAAAGCAGCAGTTCCTGCTGTTTTTGCCTTACCGTATACAAAATCTTGTGCTTCAGGTATTTCAATCAAATGCCAAAATTTGACAAACTACTCTACGAAAACTGGTGCTCCCATTTAGGATGCAAATTCTAGCAATATTATCCAGATAGGGAAGGAACACACAAATAAGGCAACCATACAATTTGGAGGCAGCTCTGAATGTCACTACCTGCTGGTTAAAAACTAAGCTTATATGGCTGAGTTCTACAAACTGGCAATGCAATGATACAAGTTTTACTTACATGCTTCATTCCCTCCTGGAGGTTGGTAAAAAGAAAGGCCCAATGATACTATGGCTGCAATTTCTAGTATTATTAGTGTAACATCCTGTAGTGCTTCCCACACTAACTGAAGAAATGTTTTTGGCTTTTTAGGAGGTATAAAGTTCTTCCCAAACACTGTTTCTCTCCTCTCAATATCTGCTGGATTTCCACTTAAACCTAGAAAGAAAGGATCAGTGATGTTAAGCTACATGAGTATTTGCCTGTGTTTTACAGAAGAAGTGAAGCTTTCCAT